GGCCACAGAATCTAACTGTTGGAGGTATTTTTTCTGTTCACATTTTTGCAAAAAATACTGAACCGATTTTGAAAATATGAAAACCGTTGGGAAAAATTTATTTGGGAAAAGTGCTGATTAGTTTTTGACTATTATTGACCGACCACTTTCTTTGTAATTGAATTTTTAAAATAAAATTGGTGAAATTTACCATGGCGATAGTGTTCATGTCTAAATAAGTATTCTAAAATATTATAGTCCTACGAAGTGGTTGAATGTCAAAAATTCATTAAAGTTCGAAGTACTGGGTTGAACTTTTAGGACTTACAAATTGATGTTTTATGTTAAAAATTATATCAAATTCTCAATTTTCATTGATCAACTCAATTATTTATCGGATAGTTTATTCGACTTGTCTTAAAGCAAAATGCCTCTTAATATTAGTATTAGTTTACTTATTATTTATATTTTATTTTTATTTAGGACAAACAAACAGATACAATCAACAGATAAATTAGAATCAGTTAGAAGCGAATTGAGAGATATTGCTCGCAGATGGCAACAGCAAGAATGGCAAAGTTCGCGTACCGATTCCGCCCTGGATGCTCTCAGAACGGATTTGTCATTTCTTAGACAAAATTGCTGAAATAAGGCCAAAAATCCAACTGTTGGAGGTATTTTATTTATTTAGTTGTTGTATTGCAGCACTTGCTACGAGACGGCTTTTTGCAGGAGCGACATTGCTGTATGAACCAGCAGGCCGCTCAAGTATTTTTTTAGTTTTTTTTTCATTATTATCAATAAAAATATATTTAAAAATAAAAAATTGCTTCTAAAGAATAAAACAATAATATAACATTGATTTGAACAAATGTCGACATACTAGATGTTTTCAATAGGCGACACACGTACACACAGGTCGTCACGCGGATGTTGCCTATAGAAATTTAAGAGTAAATTGAGTGATTTCAAGGATTATTCAATCGTATTTGAATATAAATTGAGTCTTCAACATTGTTTATTTACACAAAATTTGCATTTATATAGTTTAAGTTGCTATTTCAAATGTTTAATTTTTCGTTCGATTTACGTGGATGTAGGAACGATAATAAATATATTTAATATATTTTTATCTTAAATTAAATTATTTTACAGAAGTGGGACAAATTAATCAGGATATTGTAAATGATCTTCAATCGCTTCGTGCGGAAGTGGCTACATTGAGAAAGGAAGCACTTGCTACCAAAACAGAATTATATAAAATCAGAGCAAATGTATCCAAAATTGCTGGACAAACTACGTAAGCGAATGCACAAATAGATATTTTTGCAGATGTTTAGCTGATGATTTAACCAAATTAACATATTTTTAATAATATCATATATATATATATATATATATATATATATATATATATATACATTGTAGAGACATGACTCGTGATTCACAAAATTATATAACGAAGCAATATTTCAATTCCGCTATGCAGAATCTCAAGCAATCTCTGAGACATTATGATATGGCTATGAAAGCGACTTATAGAGATTCAGGTATTGGCCTATAAAATAATACATTTAAATCTGAACAATATATTGCACTTATTTAGTAATTTAATAACTTGCGTTACATAAATAATAGCATGAGAATATTCCATTATTGGCAGGTAACAATCGGCCTTCGATAGATGGAAATACTGATAATATACCTGTTGATTGCTGGGAAGCTTATAAATCTGGAGCTGCCAACATATCTGGCCCATACCGCATTCGGCCTGTGGGAGCCGATAGGCCGTTATTTGCTTATTGTGATCAAGAACGATGGGGCGGCGGTTGGACGGTGAGAGAAACAGAGTGGCCAATTCTCCGATAAAATAGAAATGTTATGGCAACAAATGTTACTGTCCTATTTTCTTAAGCTATATATTTGCTGTATGGCTATTGCTAATCAGGCATTTCACACATAAAAGCTAACTTCACGTATGTGTTATCAATAAAACATTAGAAAAATGCACTTATGATAAAATTGTTATTGGACGTTCATGCGTTTTGTACGTTAATTATGTGTGAAGCTCCTGATCGCATAGAGAATAAATAGTTTTCCGAATAAATAGCTCCTGATCGTAACATATTTATCGTTTCCTTAACATTTCTATTTTATCGGAAAATTGGCCTCAGAATCTTTTAATGTTTTCACCCACTAGGCAGTCATGCCGTTGCAGGAAATTTAAGATAAAATGACCAACAAATATCGAATTGTAAGATTTTTCGCCGTTCGAACAAGATTTTATTCATAATTTCTTTTGAAAATTAGAAAACGAATTAAAACGATACGTTTGGGTGTGTATTTATAAATTGAACATAGATACTTTACTAACTACTACTAACTAAAAAAATATATAAATTCCAATGCATTTGAATATTGAACTCAAATGTACTTAATTTATTATTATTTATAATTGTTAGGGCACTGATAGGGATTTTTTTAAATCATTTATTATTTAAAATTAGATAACAATACATTATTTATATACATTATTCAACACGTTACAATATTTTCAGGTGCTGCAAACAAGATTCGATGGATCTACCGATTTTTATAGACCTTATCAAGATTATGTTCATGGATTTGGGAACGTTGCTGGTGAACATTGGTTGGGATTGGAAACTGCACATTTGGTATTATTCGTTGAAATAATAATATATTCAATTTATATTTTGCGTGCAAATAAAATATCATAATATTTTTAGTTTATTTATTTAAGTAACCAAAAATTCTTGTCATCCCAATCATATAATAATAATGTAATCATATTTTATGCTGATTTATATTCTCCGGTAGGCAGTGCTCAATTTCATATGCAACTACGTTTGGTGAGAAATATTTTAAAATGGATAACTGAAATGTCATGCCATATGATCAATTATTGCTAGAAATAATACATTTTACTTAGTAATTATACAAGGAAATTTTTACAAACCAATCAAACTTTAGACCGAATAATCTCTGTATCATTTCTATTAAATGATATTGTACTCAATATATTTTTCAATTATTAGTAAAATCTATTCTAAGAGTACTTATAACTGCCTACACAAGAATATTTTTAGCTGACAAAAGTTTGAACAAAGAAAATAGAATTTGATCGTCAAATGCATTACCCAAATTAAAAATAATTATTATATTAAATTTATGCTTAATATATAGCTAACAAGCAATGGATTATATGAATTGCTAATAGATCTGCAAGATTTTGATGAAATATGGACGTACGCATATTACAAGTCATTCTCGATCGGGCCAGAAGCTCAATCATACCCCATAAACGTTCTTGGTGCCTACTATGGAGACGCAGGTCATTATATATAGAATTAAATCAGTTCAGCGTAGTTTTGTAAATTATTTTGTTTTTTACCAGAGGATTTTTTGTATATATATATATATATATATATATATATATATATATATATTTATCTGAGCAAAATCCTCAAAAAATGAATTCGAATAAACAATGTTAAAATTTAATTTCTTGCTCATGATCATTTTACTTACGTTAATTTTGAATCTTCTATATGTTTATATAGGCGATTCGTTAGCATATCAAGCTGGTCATAAATTCTCGGCTCATGATCTGGATAACGACAACTGGCCTGAAGGTAGCTGTGCACAAGCACATCACGGTGCATGGTGGTATCACGCATGTGAACAAAGGTTTGATAACTTTACCAAACATTCGACATCGAAAATAGTCCATAATATCTTTATTGTCTTATTGAATTTGTATTTTTAGCAATCTGAATGGGTTATACTTATCGGGACAAATTCCTGAAGATGTTAGCAATCAAGGCATGTACTGGTATGAGTTCCATGGACCCGGCTACTCTTTGAAAGCATCGCGAATGATGATCAGACCGGCGGGCGCAAGAACTGACTTTAAAAATAAGGTATTCTTTCGTCATACTATTGTATAAATTTTATTATCACATTCAGTCTGAGAATCGACTAACATATTTTTTCCATACCCTTAAGTGGTAAAGTTTGGCCACTCCGAAGACGTTTCTTTAATTTTTTGGACACATTCATTTCATTTAATTTTTTTTTAAAATGTCCAATAAAAAAAAACATACTTGCCCTAATATTTCACAATTCTACCACAAACATCTACTTTGGAATAGAACCATAACCAAGGTAGCTTAGTTATTATAATTGTGAATTGCGAATTATATGCAATGAATTAATAATTATAAATATAATAAACTGTACGGATATAAACGTAAAAATTGGCGTCAGACTACCAATTTTTACACTCATTGAGCGCGTTTCAGTTCGTCGACATAAAATAAGTAATTTTTTAATTTTTTTATATTCGTACAGTTAAATATTGTAAAAAATATTTATAATTATTAATTCATTGCATATAATTCGCAAACAAAATATGATATATTTGAAAAAAAATTATAAGGTCACGCAAGGTCGTATAAAGGCATACAAGGAAAATATGTAAATACAAAATTATGTGTGCGATTATTTACATTTTTTTTTGATTTGGGAAAATATATATTTAATCCGACCGAAAACTCTCTGCAATAGAGCTTGAAACTACTAAAATCGATGTCGTAGTCCCTAGTGGCGGTTTATTTATTTATAAACACCTAAGGTTATTTATAAATAAATCAAAAACATATTTACGAAATGTTTATTAAATTATGATTTATGTTAGATAACAAAGTTAGAAATCAAACTATATTAACAAAACCGCAATATTTGCTAGAAATAATTAATACTATACTATCAATCAAACTTTGGTATCAAAAAATATGATTTCAAATAGTGGCACCTAGTACCGGACATTTCAAAATAACCTGCATTGATCATATATATACGAGGTGTGTTCAAAAAGTACCCGGAATTACTAATAATTAAATTTCGCGGGTGGAGTGTCTGATTGTCAAATTTTTTTTTTATTGTGTTGGTATACATGCCCCTAAAGTATGATGAAATTTTCAGCTATATTCACTGTTTACTTTGTCTGTGGTAGTCGCTAAGGTTCGACGTGTTTTTCTGAGCTCGGCGATTTTTACAATGGAAGAATTGAAAAGTCAAAGAATTTGTATTAAATTTTGCGTAAAAAATGAAATAAAGTGTTGCAAAGTGCAAAAATTCACCAGATATGGCTCCGTGTGACTTTTTCCTATTCCCAAAGTTGAAGAGACCCATGAAAGGACGGCGGTTTTCCTCGATTGAAGAAAATCGCTGAGAGTGCTCAAGGACATATCAAAAAGTGAATATCAAGGGTGCTTCGAAAATTGGAAAAAACGCTGGCATAAGTGTATTATATCTGGGGGGGACTACTTTGAAGGGGACCACATTAATGTAGACGAATAAATAAATATTTTTTTGAAAAAACGAAAATTCCGGGTACTTTTTGAACAGACCTCGTATGTAGCTATCTCCACACTCTGGAATGTCTGCACATGTCTTTGACGAATATTCTTAGATATTGCAAAAAAAAGTCACTATTCCACCCTAAACCACCCTATTGTCTGGGCCACCCCAATGCTCTCAGCTGGTGCATTTACCATAAGATTTTCATTCTTCGACTAGGAAATACGAAAAATGGAGTATGTAGTGACCGTTAGCACTCATGCAGAACAAAATTAAATAATTGAAATAAATTACGTATATTCTCACAAGAAATATCAATATGTTTACTGTCCTGCAGTAACGGACGACTCAGTGTCCGGTGCTAAGGGACAGACATTATCGTTCATTTGGTGGCACCTACAAAAATTGATTAGAAGATCTAATAATATTCTACCATTTTACGGATAACAATCAAGTACAACTTTTATCTTTGCATACCACTCAAATGTAAATGCATTAATATACTAGAATTACTTCCATTGATATTTAGGTGACGTCGTGATTTTGCGCCTAAAACAGGAAAGGGTTGCTCTCGCCGTGGCCGTGTGCGTCATAGGCGAGGCTTGGCGCGTGATCCTGTACCTGTGTGCTTCTTTCACTTGTATTTTGAAATGAAAAGATTTATACTTGCTCAAATAATACGTGTTAAATAGAGTGTACGGTGCTTTGTGCCGTCCGGCGTTACGGGACTTCCTCCCCTATACAGCTAGGATATAAAATGACACGTTTATATAAACACGTACATATATATATATATATATATATATATATATATATATATATGCAGTAAACATGCAATAGTCGATAATAAAACTTATATTTAAGCCTTTTCAACTATATCTAATTATTATAGTTATTCATAAGTTGCGCGGGAGGAACTAATGGTTGAACAAAACTGTAAGCGCTGCTGTAATTTCAGCTCGACGTAGTATGGAAACCGCCTTTCCAGAGTACCGCGTTGTCGAAGGGTTGACTGAATAAATAATTATTTTCGAATAATAAAAATGGAATAAAATTTGTTGGAATTTGAAGAAAGATTCTCATTTGAAAAATGTTTTATGATTTATGAAAGCCATTAAGGGTATACAAATGCATAACCCTTGCTTATGCATTATTTTTGTGTGTTTTTTTTTCAATCAAAATAAGAGTTAACCTTCGTTTGTTATATATTAACCTAATCTTGTATCAAAAGTCAAAATTTAAATCTGATAACTTATTGTATTTTTTCTAGTTTTGAAATTATTTGATATTATTTTGTTACAGACAGCCATGAATCCGAAAACGAAATCAGATGCAAGGCAGGCTCCGAATGCTAGTTCTGATTTGAGCGACTATGAATAATTGTAAACCATATCTAGACATAACTTTGATTGATCTTATTTTATTTTATTTGCAAGTTAAACTATCTAAGTTATTAATTTATGTATTGTGGACGTTATTCATAATAAATTAAAAGTGCATGTTTGCAATGTATTGAATAAACCAAATATTAAAAAACGAATTTACAATAGTTTGCCAGAAATAAATTATTCATGGTAAAATTAAATATTGTACAAACAACGATATAACTATTATAAATAAAAAAATTATGAAAATTATGAATTAGATCACAAATTAGGTTTTGTGCAAAATATTGTATTATAAAACTAATATAAATAACATTTGTTTGTACTATTTATTTTGCTATGTATTATTTTTAAATTTTATAGAGTTCAATCAAAATCTATACGAATTGCGTTTGCCTTACGTAAAATCAATAAGAAATCAATATATTAATTTAAGTTATTTATAAGTACCGAATTGCTGCAGAATCTTGAAACCTAATATTGAATCTATTGCAGATTATTCAATACTGTACAGATTTCCAATAGTGATAGTTCAAATAGTCGGCCTCGCTTTGAATATGCAAGGAGTCTAAACTTTAATGAATTATTATTATTGAACAACTTTTTGTTTTTGAAATCAATACAGCTGTCGGCGCAAGATAAAATTTTCTTCTATGCTCACATAAATGAACACATATAAACTATATATACTCACCGGAGTATCAGCCCTAGATAAATTTCCTAGATAAATAAGGTATCAGCTTTGTTCAGAAGATATTAAAGGAGCAAAGCATGTTTTCTTCGTGTGCCCACGTTCTAGTGCGCCACAGCGCAACGAGATATTGTGGAGAACATTTTTACTTACATATTTATGGGAGATGACATTCAACACAACCAACAAATATAGACAAGAATATGTATATTTACGTATACAACCAACATACGTATATGGATCGAGTTTCTCTTGGTGGCAAAACTGCATTATATTCACAAAGGCCAGTTTATTTATAACCTAATTATAAAATCATGATTTTATAAAGATAAAAGAGGCATATGATAAATATCATATAATTATATTAAAAATAATCGTTTATAAACAGATTTAGAAATTAAAATAAAAATAATTAACAACATTGACATGAATCGCACCAGCTTTTAAAGTAATCTTTTTCTTGATCCTCCTTTATGAATTCCTCTCGTTTCCTTCTTACTTCCTCATAATCTGCTTCGTAATTTGATTTTACCGCAGTTTCTAATGTCATCTTTTCTTCATCGGTCAAACGATCCATTACGGACAGTATTTGTTTATCAGTTAATTTATCAATATCAAAACCGACCATTTTGTTATACCTCCGTAAATAGTCGCGTTTTCTACTCGGAGATGAAGGCGCATCTTCTGGCTTCATGAATTCTTCCATATTTGGTTGATAGTGGATATGTTCGCTGAAATCTTCAAAATCTGCAAATTGTTTATCGACTCCAACATCTAAATCTTCACCAGTTTCCATAAGTTCCGTTAACACGTCCTTTTTGATTCTGGATCTTCCTTCCTGAACAAATAGGATACCTTGTTGATTTTTAGGTTGTTGTCCGAATCGATGAAATTTACCCGAAAAGAAATCTGCACTTCGTTTGGGCTTATCTCTAATTAAATGCGGCCAAATAATTTCTTGTCCTCGAATTGTGAACGATAACAGCAATATTACCCGTAACAATAACATTATAAAAAAATCGTAAAAAATATTTTCAAATTCAAATTTCAGTTTAAAAAAATGAATAAAATTATTCCAGGGCCTATTGTTTGGGAACAACACCCGCGCTTACTAAGTTCAGTTTATTATGTTCAGTTTAGATGTAAAAATACTATCAAATGTTTATGTTAGTTACTGTGATACGTCAGTATTGTTGATAAATTATGATTTTCTGTATGTTGGAGTTTAATATTTGTTTATAATCTTTCCTTAAAAATTGCTCTCAAATGCATTGCTCTTGAACAATATGCACTGAATAGCTTATTCAAATTCTGATTTAGTATATAAATTTCATGTAGTGCATTGACAGATTTCTATAATCATACTACATTTTGGGGAAAGACAATATGTAGAAAGTTATATAAGAATAAAGTGATGGAGACTGCGTACGATTGCCAGGGTACGGTAGTGGCAGTCGTTATAACAGCAAAACTATACTGATTTTGGCATAGATTCCAAAGCGAGGAAAATTTAGTATGTTTAGAAAAAGAAAAGCAAAGGAAAATTCAACATAAGAGAAAACTAGTAGTGTATGCCATCGTGCCTTAAGGGTTATATACGGTTAGAAGGCCGAAAAAAAGCGATTTTTTGAGATTTTTTTCTGTAAAAACTATTCAATCTATTGAAACAAAAATGTATACGCATATAAAGGCATATTTTAATTAGTTTTTAATTAATTGCGAGCAAAAATATTTATTTAAAATAAAACAGTTACAGCTGATTTCCGGAAGCACCTCTTGAAAAACAAGTTTTGCAGTGACCACTCTATCTCTGTACTAAATCATCTGAAATTAAAAAACCAAAGAGATTTCATTAAAGTAATGATAAATCTAGTGATTAATCGAAGGAATGTTAATAATAATATTTTTTGACAAAATGGTGGCTTCTTTACAAAAAATGTTTTTTTGCGAAATTTTGACTTTAAATTGTTTATAAAAATAAAAGTATATATCGGATCGGAAAAATTTTCCATTCATCACTGAAATATATATTTAAGAAGCTCGTGCTAAAATTTGAGACTAGTGGGATCAGTCGTTTTGGAGTTATGTTGGTCACCGACTTTGAAAACACTATTTCGAGAAAAACGCGTTTAAAGTTTGGAAAGAAAATTACATGAATAGAAATTTTTTCCTTGAGGCAAATTGCTATAACTTTCCGTACCAAAAATTTTTTTTTAAAAAAAAAGATTATTTTTTTTAAAAAAACTTTGATTTGAATTTTTTAAATTCTCAAACACGTCTCAAACTGTCTCAAACTGTCTCAAACACGCATTTTTTTATCTATGCTCAAACACATTCTTATCATATTCTTATCATAGATAAATGATGCTTATTATGTTCAATGCATTTGAAACAGTTTTGGTTTTCGCGCCACCTGTACAATATAAAAGTGTCGTAGTCTGGTAACACTTTTCTAGTCGGTTCTACTGTTCTACTCTTCCTGGCTGCGGTGCAACCTGTCATCTTTGTTTTAATGATAATTATTGCTGTGTTTATATAGCGTTTCGGAGCTAGTGAAGTTATTATTTACTTCGGTTTATTTAATTCCGCTGGTGCCTGAAAACTCTGACAAATGGCCGAGTATTTGGCTTCGATTTTTGGAACAGAGAAAGACAAGTAAGAAAATTTTGATGCGGCATATACAATAACGTATTCTGATATTATTTTTGTTTTTCAGAGTAAACTGCTCGTTTTATTTCAAAATCGGAGCTTGTAGACATGGAGATCGATGCTCTAGAATCCACAATAAGCCTACCTTCTCTCAAACTTGCTTGCTGCAGAACCTCTATGTGAATCCTCAAAATTCTGCCAAATCTGCCGATGGAAGTCATTGTATGTACATTTCATTACATTTATTAATACAGTGGTACCCCGGCTTTCGAGTGACCTGACGTACGAGTGTTTCGAGATACGGGCCGCCAAACGTGCGATTCGTTTTTTTGTCGTACGAGCAATATTTGAGATATGAGCTTTGAGCGAGTAAAATAGAAGTTTTTTTTAGAAAATGCGTTAATGGCGAAACGAAAATATGAAATTCAAGTCAGTTGTAACAGCGATTTGCCTATCATAGAAATATTTTAGCTGTTTTATAATAGTTAATGACTATGTTTTTTGAAATAAAACTTGAAAAATATGAGGATGGCAATGATGTACGAGTGTAACACATTGTAAATATGTACTGTTGTCAACAGAAAGAGTTGATAAAATGTATAACTCCAGCTAAAGGACCTTGAAATAATTTAGAAGCTGCTCTGATTGGTAAAAAGTTAATGGATAAAAATCACCTCAAAAAAGTTGCAAAAGTTTCAGCATTGAAGTAGTTCAATAAAACATGTCTAATTTCATTTTGCAATATCATGAATGGTGAAAAAATAATGCGCTTTGGATAGTTTTTTTTTTTAAACAACGATGATTTATTTCATTTTTCATATAATAATTTATATTTTTGCAAAATTTGAATTTCAGCTTTATAAATAATTGTTTAGATACAAGTGATTTGCCATGCGAGCATGGTATGGAACCAATTATGTTTGTATGTTGGGGTACCACTGTATATATTTTCTTATTTTTGTAATCTTATTTTTATGTTTGTTATCCTATTATTTTAGTGGTAGCCAATGTTTCTGACGAAGGATGCAAGAGCATTATGACAACTTCTTTGAAGAAGTTTTGTGTGTTGAGTGTGAGGACAAGTATGGAGAAATCGAGGAAATGAATGTTTGTGATAATTTAGGTGATCATTTAGTTGGAAATGTCTACATAAAGGTATTTTGGTTTACTGTTAAGCCTAATTTAGTTTATTGCTTTAAATACCTGTTTTTTTTTTTAAGTATGTTCATTATCAACATTAATAATTCATATTGACAAAAAACTTTCTGGGTCTGTTTCATATGCATTATCAAATCAAATGTTAGATCAAGTACTTTTCATTTGCCTTATTTTAACCAGACGTTTTTTATGAATTTGAATATATTTTGGGTAATTTTTAATTTAAATTGCCAGAGAAAAAAATGAGCTCTCTAGCAGTTTTGTTCATACTAGAGATTTGCTTATCATATCCGAAGCGGGATCGGTTAAGATATATGACTGCGCTTCAGAGAGGAGTCATATCCGCTTAACAACTCCATGACTTCAACAAATTTGAAACCTAATACTTGACACACTTGTGTTTTATAGTGTGTAGTTCATAAATCTAAGGATTTACGAAGTGTTTGAAAAATTACTATTTTATGCATTTCAATATTCATACAAATCTCAAACTATATATGCCGAAATCGAGGCAATAAAAATGTTGAAATATCAGG